GGAGGCCAGGGTGCTGGCTCCAGGGCCGCACCGAGCCCGGGAAGCCCGGCCGCCTCTTTCCCCGCTGCCCGGCCCCGCCGCGCCGCCCCTCACCTGCCTTCCCAGGTCCGGCGCCACCTCAGGCCTCCGACCAGGCACCCACAGGCCGCGCGCAGCCACGACGGTTATAGTGCCTGTCTCTTTAAATCCGGGTCCTTGAACTGGCCGCAGCGCGCAGGCGCAGAGGTCCAGGCCCCAGCTGCGCCACGCGTCCCCGCCCCCGCCTGCCACGTGGGCTGTGGTCACGGTCTGCGGAGGCCCAGGGTTCTGTGAGGGGCGTGGAGGTGGTTCCCGGTCTGCGATTGCCGCAGAGGAAAGCCGAGGTGCTGCGATGTGGCGGCGCCCAGAGAGGCAGCCCAGTTTGAACTTCCGGGGACCCCCTCCTTACTTATTCTTAACGTTAGAGATAGTCCGTAAAGGTACTCGTAGAGAAACTATATTGTAATGAGCTTGGGGAAGGCAAAGATCGCATTATTCAATGTGTTTTTCTGTATTCCCTTTGTCTTGTGTTCCGGAAAGTACCTAGCACATAGTAAGTATTCAGTAAGTATTATTAAATTGAAAAGTGGCACTAGATAGATAGATATAAAGGGTGATATGTACAGTAAACCCTTGATTGTGTATTGTTTTAAGTGTATTTCTTTTAAAGCTCAGGTCAACTTTTGTTTTTTTTGGGGGGGGTGGATTTTATTTATTTGCTTATTATTTTTTAATGCAGGTACGGGGGATTGAAGCCAGGACCCTGTGCATGCTAAGCACTGCATTCTACCACTGAGCTCCCCACCTCAGATCAACTTTTTGAGAGATTAGGATGGCTATTTTTACAAAAGAATAGCAGGCTCAGAGAAGGTGATTGAACTTGTTCAGGGTCTAGGAATAGTAAATAACTGGTCATTGTTAGTTAAGTATAAATCAGACCTTGGAGGGAATTCTGTGCTATGTAAAAAAAATCATGGCTTTTGTTATGTAGGGAATGGAGAGCCACGAAGGGCCTTATGAAGTAGTAACTTACTGTTGAATCTTGGAGAGACTGAGGTAAGAGAACCAATTAAAAGGTTCTCAGTGCCGGCTTAGGTAGAACATTAACTGTAATGGGAGGATACAGAGATGAGCATTGCACAAGGATGACATGCAAATTCATGAAGAGGGTCATATTTTTAAGGAAATTTTTTTCCCCTTTTTACTCTGTCTATATCAGGTCATTATGCTGTACACCTTATATAGTGATGTATATCAGTTTTATCAATAAATCTGGAATAAAAAAAGTTCTTGTAGTGTGACCCATGTGAGAGATGAAAATGGCCTGAACAAGCTTAGTTGGTTGGGGTGGAGAGGAAGGTGCATTTTTCGGTAAGCAATTAAGTTTTAAATTAGCTTCTAGATAAAATGCTCATTTACCTAAAGATACAATGAAGATGACTTGAGCGAGCAGGTAGATACTGGCCATCAACTAAAATAGAAAATGGGAGGGGAGGAGGAGGAATTTAGGATAAAAGGATGAATTTTGTTTTGGCTATATTAAGTTTGGTTGGTTGAGGCCAGCATGATGCCACTGTTTGAAGTGGGGCAAAGTCTCTAATATGCTGCAGAAAGAACAGGTCTGAGATTGGAAGTTTATTGAAGGAGGCTCAAATTCCGAACTCCAGCGGTTGTGTGATCCTGAGCATGTCTCTATCACTGAATCTACCATGTTCTTTTATAAATCCCTTGACTGCACCTGTCTTTTCTCCTATCCCTGTGCTGTCAAACGCTGTTATCACTAGCCATGTGTGGTTTTGAGCTCTTGAAATGTGGCCAATCCAAACTGAGATGATTTCAAAGATGTGCTACCAAACAAAAAAAAGACTGTAAAATATCTTTAAAATATCTCATTAGTAATATTATTTATGCTGATTACATGTTGAAATGATATTTTGAATATGTAGAGTTCAATAAAAATATATTAAAATTAATTTTAACTCTTTATTTTTACTTTTTTGAAAATGTAGTGACTAGAGAATATAAAACTGCAAATAACTTGCATTATACAGCATCGCCCCAGATTATGGAGGGTGACGTCTGTGCTTCATGCATCTTTTTATCCTCTAGAACAGTACTGGGCACTTAGTAGGCTCCCAGCAAGTATTTATGAATGAATGAGACCCTTGAGTAAATGGAATGAATGCATGAATCTCTGAAAGTAATAAACCTCCCTCAGAAGGATGTTTGTTTATTACATTGTATCTTTGACAATGTTTGATGTAAATGTGCAAAAAGACTGAGGCTGTAAATGTTTGTTTTGCTGGATTAGAGCTCCACGGAGCCCCTAATCATCTCTGATTCAGGCCCCATCTGTAAAATGGAACAAGATATGAAAACTGGCAGTTGCATTTCCTTAGAGAAGTGGGAACGGCTCCTAAGGAGAATGATGTGATGTGTGGTAGGAATAGCGGGGAGTCACACAGACTTAGGTTTGAATTATGTTCCACCACTGGCTGTGTAACCTTCATTTATTTTCTTAACTTCTCTGGGCCTCAGCTTTCATGGTGAAATGGGGATAAAAATACCTCTTAGGATTGTATGTGACAATTAAATGAGATGATATATATTAACTTGCAAACTGCTTGGCACTTGGAGGTAGTTCAGTACGTGTACACTCCCCTTGACTCCAGCCTGCATACATTCATGGTACTGGAGAGTTTAATCATTCAGGTAGTCATCAATCAGTCAAGCACTGAGTGCCAATTCAGGAACTGGGATGCAGCAGTGAAACAAAACAGACAAAAATCCCTGCCCTCATGGAGCTAACAGGTTAGTGTGGGAGACAGATAATAAACAATAAGGAAAATGCATAGATGTAAGATAGAGATGATGGGTGCTGTGAAAAAAGCAGAGAAGAAAGCAGAGGAGGGTAGGAGGTGCCAGGCAGGGCACGCTGGGTGTTGCAGTTTTAAATACAGTGGTCAGGAAGGCCTTGCCAACAAAGTGACAACTGAGTAGACTTGAAGGAATGAAGGAGAGAACCAGGTGGAGAGGGAGCAGCAAGGAAGGTCCCAGGACCAGCATATGTCTCTCCTGTTGAGAGATCACAAGGAGGTGGGTGTGCCTAGAGCAGCAGGAGTTAAGGTTGAGAAGAACTGGAGATGAGGTGAGCAGGGTATCTGGACGCAGATCCTGTAGGGCCTTGTAAACCACTGTAAAGATGCTGGGTTTTATTGCAGGTGAAATGGGAAGCTAGTGGATTATACTGAGCAGAGAAGTAACATGATCTGATTTAGGTTTTAACAGGATTGTTGTCACTTTGCCTGCTGTGTAGAAAAACCGGGAGATGAGTTAGTTGGCTACTGTGAAAAGGGGAGAAATGAGGGCAGAGTGAGTGGTAACAGTGAAAGTGGTGAGTAATAACCTAAGGCTCATGGGCCCCTCGGGGCTCTGTGGATAGGCTCAAGGGTGCCCTTGAACCCTCTGAAATTTTATATAAATATTTGTGGGTCAGTGTATTTTTGGAGGGAGAGCTCCTATTGGAGTCTCAAAGCAGTTGCATGGTCCAAATCAAGACACCACCTTGGTGTCGAATAAACAGGATACCTCCTGCTTGTTCCTGGCTATTCAAAGCCCCATGATTAAATCTTTCCCTCAGACCTCGATCCTCAATCCTCCAGGGCACTGATCCTGTTTGAGAGCCTCTCAGAGCTTCTGCCACCCCCTTTAGGACTGTAGCATCCCTGATTTCCAGTTTTCAGTCATCAGGATGTTAAGAAGAAGGAAAAAAAAATCACAGGGAAATGGGTAGATTCTGTTCCTTTTTTATGATACCCACTGTGGAAGCTTGGAAGCCACAGGCAGGAACAGGGAAAAGGCTTCACACCTTCCTAGAGACCATGTGGGGCACTCGTGAGGCTAGTTTGCACTCAGTGGATTCCTTTCTCGGTAAGCTCTGGTCTATGAATCACATAAATCTCAGCACTGAGAACTGAATTTATGGTTTGGTTTGCTTAATAGTCACACAATTAAAATAAGTTGTAAAAAATGGTGGTGGTGTTTGCCAGGATAAATATTTAAAAGGGAACAGTTGTAGGAAGATGTAATAATTCAAGTCAGCCCACGGCTCTTCATTCTCAATAAAGGCTGGGGAGGTTGGTTCTTAACCGGAAGGGTTTTTTTTTTTGCCTCTCCTTTGAATATCTTTGTGCTGCAGCTGCCAGGCTTTGGTAGGACAGAGTTGAGAAGAGTCAAGTGTGCCTTTGGGAGTACTTGATCCATGGCACAGAGACAGGGGTTGAGGTCATAGATACAAAGTGTGAGGGAGACTCAAAGTTGCTACCATCCTCCCTAAACTCTTGGTCAGGTTTTCTAGTGTGAAGTCCCAGTGGTCATGTTTTTTAGGAGGCAAGTTAATAATTTTCAAAGGGAAAATTTATTTTACAAAGAGATGAGCCTGTGTGGGAAGCGTACTTAAGTTCTGTCTCCTCCAGTGGACTCTGGGCCGGTTGATAGGTAGCCCTGATAACCGCTGGCTTTCCAGCTCTGCTGTGTGGCAGAGGTTGAAGACCCAGCCAAACACTTCCTTCCTCACTTGTTCCTCATGCCATTTCCTTTACACCAGGAGTGCCCCAGTCCCTCTTCTCTACTTTTCTTGGCAGTTCCACCCAAGCCCTCTTACTGAAGCCTTCCGACCACGCAGCCCACTGTGCTCTCCCTCTCCTGCCGCCTTCAGCTCCTGTCTTGGTCTTGGTGGATTGTAAAGAGAAAAACTCTATTGTTTCCATTTACATGTAACAATACGCTCTGAATCCTACTTAGCTGTGTCACCAGACATGTGGGTTCTCCATACATCAAGCAATTCTGTGACACCAGCTGGGTGTCCTGAAATTGAATTCAGTTCTGAAGCGATCTACCTGGAGCTAGTGTCAGATCCCATAGGTTACATGCTCAGTCCCACAAAACTGCCCATTCCTACCACTATGGATGCCAATTACAAATCTAGCTTGTTTCCTGTGCTTCTGACTGGCTATAGATCAGAACTTCCCACAATCCCTTCCCTGGGTTTGATTAATTTGCTAGAGCTGCTGACAGAACTCAGGAAAACAATTTACTTACTAGAGTCCCAGTTTATTATAAAAAGATGTAACTCAGGAACAGCCAGGTAGAAGAGATGTGCAGGGAAATGTATGTGGGAATGGGTGCACTGCTTCCACGCCCTCTCTGGGCATGCCGCCCTCCCAGCACTTCCAAATGTGTTCACCAGCCCAGAAGCTCTCTAACGCCATCTGTTTGGTTTTTTATATAGGCTTCAGCAGGCATGACTTATTAAATCATGGGTCACTGGTGACTGAACTCAATCTCCAGTCCCCTCCCCTCCCAGGGGAGGTCAGGGGTGGGACTGAAAGTTCTAACCCTCTAATCAGTGGTTGGTTCCCCAGGTAACCAGCACCCATCCTTAGGGGCTTTCCAAAAGTCACCTCATTAGCATAAACCCTGGTGTGGTTGTGAGGGGCTTGTTTTGACTAACAAATAATACCATTATCACTCTTCTCTTTTTGATCACTTAGGAAATTTCAAAGATTTTGGGACCTTTGTGCCAGAATTTGGGACAGAGGCCAAAACATATTTCTTATTATAAATCACAAATCACGGTGATAGACAGAGGTGAGAGGGTCCTTACGGGGTACCCAGACAATACAATAACCAGAGAGGGTAAAACGAAGGCTGGGAGAGTAAACTGACTAGGTAGATAGTGCACAGCTAGTAAATGGGAAAAGTCAGACCCTAGACTTTCGATTAGGGCCCTGCCCAATTTCTTATACTGTTTACAATACAACCAGATTGCAGTTTTCTTTCATTCATTCAACTAATATTTGAGTGTCTGTACTGAAAACATTACATACATTTAACTCAGTTAATCCTCTCAGTAACCCCAAAAGTTAGAAACTATTATTCTCCTTGTTCCGTAGTTGAGGAAACTACAGGTGAAATAACTTACCCAAGGTTACCTGGTTAAAAAGTGGTGGACCACAGAGCGTGGTGTAACTGCTGTTTCCCGTTTGGAATGTCTGGTAACTGAAGGCATCATTCTTACTCCAATCAGAGACCACTAAGGAGTAAAATTTGTTGCTGGTGAAATGGGGGTAAGGCAGGGCAGTGTGGAGAGAATTTGATAACAAACTTCCAATATTTCTT